TGTGATCACTTCAATTTTCCATTAAAAATCGATTTTTAAACGAAAAAACTAAAATCGGCTGTAGTTCCTTAAATAACGCTTTAATCGAGAAAATAAAGAAAATAAAATCGGCTCTAGTTCCTTAAATAATGCTTAAATCGAGAAAATAAAGAAAATCTGTGATCACTTCAAATTTCCTTCAAAATCGATTTTTATATGAAAAAACTAAAATCGGCTCTAGTTCCTTAAATAACGCTTAAATCGAGAAAATAAAGAAAATCTGTGATCACTTCAATTTTCCATCAAAAATCGATTTTTATATGAAAAAACTAAAATCGGCTGTAGTTCCTTAAATAACGCTTTAATCGAGAAAATAAAGAAAATCTGCGATCACTTAAATTTTCCATTAAAAATCGATTTTTATATGAAAAAACTAAAATCGGCTCTAGTTCGTTAAATAACACTTTAATCGAGAAAATAAAGAAAATCTGTGATCACTTCAATTTTCCTTCGAAAATCGATTTTCACATGAAAAAACTAAAATCGGCTCTAGCTCCTTAAATAACGCTTAAATCGAGAAAATAAAGAAAATCTGTGATCACTTCAATTTTCCACTAAACATCGATTTTTACATGAAAAAACTAAAATCGGCTCTAGTTCCTTAAATAACGCTTAAATCGAGAAAGTAAAGAAAATCTGTGATCACTTCAATTTTCCATTAAAAATCGATTTTTATATGAAAAAATTAAAATCGGCTCTAGTTCCTTAAATAACGCTTAAATCGAGAAAATAAAGAAAATCTGTGATCACTTCAATTTTCCATCAAAAATCGATTTTTATATGAAAAAAATAAAATCTGCTCTAGTTCCTTAAATAACGCTTAAATCGAGAATATAAAGAAAATCTGTGATCACTTCAATTTTCCATTAAAAATCGATTTTTATATGAAAAAATTAAAATCGGCTCTAGTTCCTTAAAAAACGCTTAAATCGAGAAAATAAAGAAAATCTGTGATCACTTCAATTTTCCATCAAAAATCGATTTTTATATGAAAAAAATAAAATCTGCTCTAGTTCCTTAAATAACGCTTAAATCGAGAAAATAAAGAAAATCTGCGATCACTTCAATTTTCCATTAAAAATCGATTTTTATATGAAAAAAATAAAATCGGCTGTAGTTCCTTAAATAATGCTTTAATCGAGAAAATAAAGAAAATCTGCGACCACTTCAATTTTCCATTAAAAATCGATCACTTCAATTTTCCATCAAAAATCGATTTTTATATGAAAAAACTAAAATCGGCTGTAGTTCCTTAAATAACGCTTTAATCGAGAAAATAAAGAAAATCTGTGATCACTTCAATTTTCCATCAAAAATCGATTTTTATATGAAAAAAACTAAAATCGGCTGTAGTTCCTTAAATAACGCTTTAATCGAGAAAATAAAGAAAATCTGCGATCACTTAAATTTTCCATTAAAAATCGATTTTTATATGAAAAAACTAAAATCGGCTCTAGTTCGTTAAATAACACTTTAATCGAGAAATAAAGAAAATCTGTGATCACTTCAATTTTCCATCAAAAATCGATTTTTATATGAAAAAACTAAAATCGGCTCTAGCTCCTTAAATAACGCTTAAATCGAGAAAATAAAGAAAATCTGTGATCACTTCAATTTTCCAAAAATCGATTTTTATATGAAAAAATTAAAATCGGCTCTAGTTCCTTAAATAACGCTTAAATCGAGAAAATAAAGAAAATCTGTGATCACTTCAATTTTCCATCAAAAATCGATTTTTATATGAAAAAAATAAAATCTGCTCTAGTTCCTTAAATAACGCTTAAATCGAGAAAATAAAGAAAATCTGCGATCACTTCAATTTTCCATTAAAAATCGATTTTTATGTGAAAAAACTAAAATCGGCTGTAGTTCCTTAAATAATGCTTTAATCGAGAAAATAAAGAAAATCTGCGACCACTTCAATTTTCCATTAAAAATCGATCACTTCAATTTTCCATCAAAAATCGATTTTTATATGAAAAAACTAAAATCGGCTGTAGTTCCTTAAATAACGCTTTAATCGAGAAAATAAAGAAAATCTGTGATCACTTCAATTTTCCATCAAAAATCGATTTTTATATGAAAAAACTAAAATCGGCTGTAGTTCCTTAAATAACGCTTTAATCGAGAAAATAAAGAAAATCTGCGATCACTTAAATTTTCCATTAAAAATCGATTTTTATATGAAAAAACTAAAATCGGCTCTAGTTCGTTAAATAACACTTTAATCGAGAAAATAAAGAAAATCTGTGATCACTTCAATTTTCCATCAAAAATCGATTTTTATATGAAAAAACTAAAATCGGCTCTAGCTCCTTAAATAACGCTTAAATCGAGAAAATAAAGAAAATCTGTGATCACTTCAATTTTCCATCAAAAATCGATTTTTATATGAAAAAACTGAAATCGGCTGTAGTTCCTTAAATAACGCTTTAATCGAGAAAATAAAGAAAATCTGTGATCACTTCAATTTTCCATCAAAAATCGATTTTTATATGAAAAAACTAAAATCGGCTCTAGTTCCTTAAATAACGCTTAAATCGAGAAAATAAAGAAAATCTGTGATCACTTCAATTTTCCATCAAAAATGAATTTTTGTATGAAAAAAATAAAATCGGCTGTAGTTCCTTAAATAACGCTTAAATCGAGAAAATAAAGAAAATCTGTGATCACTTCAATTTTCCTTCAAAAATCGATTTTTATATGAAAAAACTAAAATCGGCTCTAGTTCCTTAAATAACGCTTAAATCGAGAAAATAAAGAAAATCTGTGATCAGTTCAATTTTCCTTCAAAAATCGATTTTTATATGAAAAAACTAAAATCGGATCTAGTTCCTTAAATAACGCTTTAATCGAGAAAATAAAGAAAATCTGTGATCACTTCAATTTTCCATCAAAAATCGATTTTTATATGAAAAAACTAAAATCGGCTCTAGCTCCTTAAAAAACGCTTAAATCGAGAAAATAAAGAAAATCTGTGATCACTTCAATTTTCCATCCAAAATCGATTTTTATATAAAAAAACTAAAATCGGCTGTAGTTCCTTAAATAACGCTTAAATCGAGAAAATAAAGAAAATCTGTGATCACTTCAATTTTCCTTCAAAAATCGATTTTTATATGAAAAAACTAAAATCGGCTCTAGTTCCTTAAATAACGCTTAAATCGAGAAAATAAAGAAAATCTGTGATCACTTAAATTTTCCTTTAAAAATCGATTTTAATATGAAAAAACTAAAATCGGTTCTAGTTCCTTAAATAACGCTTTAATCGAGAAAATAAAGAAAATCTGCGATCACTTCAATTTTCCATTAAAAATCGATTTTTATATGAAAAAACTAAAATCGGCTCTAGTTCCTTAAATAACGCTTTAATCGAGAAAATAAAGAAAATCTGTGATCACTTCAATTTTCCATCAAAAATCGATTTTTATATGAAAAAACTAAAATCGGCTCTAGCTCCTTAAAAAACGCTTAAATCGAGAAAATAAAGAAAATCTGTGATCACTTCAATTTTCCATCCAAAATCGATTTTTATATAAAAAAACTAAAATCGGCTGTAGTTCCTTAAATAACGCTTAAATCGAGAAAATAAAGAAAATCTGTGATCACTTCAATTTTCCTTCAAAAATCGATTTTTATATGAAAAAACTAAAATCGGATCTAGTTCCTTAAATAACGCTTAAATCGAGAAAATAAAGAAAATCTGTGATCAGTTAAATTTTCCATCAAAAATCGATTTTTATATGAAAAAACTAAAATCGGCTCTAGCTCCTTAAATAACGCTTTAATCGAGAAAATAAAGAAAATCTGTGATCACTTCAATTTTCCGCTAAACATCGACTTTTATATGAAAAAACTAAAATCGGCTGTAGTTCCTTAAATAACGCTTAAATCGAGAAAATAAAGAAAATCTGTGATCACTTCAATTTTCCTTCAAAAATCGATTTTTATATGAAAAAACTAAAATCGGCTCTAGTTCCTTAAATAACGCTTAAATCGAGAAAATAAAGAAAATCTGCGATCACTTCAATTTTCCATCAAAAATGAATTTTTGTATGAAAAAAATAAAATCGGCTCTAGCTCCTTAAATAACGCTTAAATCGAGAAAATAAAGAAAATCTGTGATCACTTCAATTTTCCTTCAAAAATCGATTTTTATATGAAAAAACTAAAATCGGCTCTAGCTCCTTAAATAACGCTTTAATCGAGAAAATAAAGAAAATCTGTGATCACTTCAATTTTCCTTCGAAAATCGATTTTCACATGAAAAAACTAAAATCGGCTCTAGTTCCTTAGATATCGCTTAAATCGAGAAAATAAAGGAAATCTGTGATCACTTCAATTTTCCATCAAAAATCGATTTTTATTTGAAAAAACTAAAATCGACTCTAGTCTTCAATTTTCCATTAAAAATCAATTTTTATATGAAAAAACTAAAATCGGCTCTAGTTCTTTAAATAACGCTTTAATCGAGTAAATAAAGAAAATCTGTGATCACTTCAATTTTCCATCCAAAAATCGATTTTTATATGAAAAAAGTAAAATCGGCTCTAGTTCCTTAAATAACGCTTTAATCGAGAAAATAAAGAAAGTCTGTGATCACTTCAATTTTCCTTCAAAAATCGATTTTTATATGAAAAAACTAAAATCGGCTCTAGTTCCTTAAATAACGCTTTAATCGAGAAAATAAAGAAAATCTGTGATCACTTCAATTTTCCTTTAAAGATCGATTTTAATATGAAAAAACTAAAATCGGCTCTAGTTCCTTAAATAACGCTTTAATTTTGAAAATAAAGAAACTTAAGGCGATAGTTTTGTGGTTGGAAGGAGGGGCATATGTGTAGTTTATTCTAATTTATCTTTAACCCTTTCAGTCTTCATTTCACTTACTATCCCAAAATTAGCATAATATTATCATTTAATGTTTTTCTTCTGTTTTTTGCTCTCCATTTCCCCTTTAGATGCCATTGCCGAGTATAATATGCTGGAAATTATAAATGAAAATTTTAATGGCATTGAATTCGATTTTGCTGAAGATGGTTTTCCTGCCTATAAAATATTACAAATTGCCGATATAAAATCTCCCTATCGTATGGTTTTGCCAGAAAAACTCAATGATTTTGCATTGCAAACTACGCTGCAACCCACCTCAGCCAAAGGTGGTTACTTGTTTAGTGTTGTTGATCCCTTGGATACAGTGGTGCAGTTTGGTTTACACTTTTCCCCTGTCATCAAAGATTGCTGGAATGTGTCGTTAATCTATACAGATGCCAGTGTTAGTCCAGTTAGTAAGCGTTTGGTTAGTTATCAATTGCCATATGAACCCAAGAAATGGGTTACTCTAGCCTTTAAAGTGTTAAGTGATAAGGTAGTGTACTATTATAATTGTGAAGAGACTGAAACGACACCGTTGATAAGAGATCCCATGGAGTTGGTGTTTGCTTCATCATCAACTTTATATTTAGCACAAGCTGGCGCTAAGATGGGTGGTAATTTTGAGGTAAGTACTCAGTTTTCTAATTATTCAAATTTAAATTATTATTATTTTACTTTTTTTAATGAAAAACCAAATACGTAATGATAGAGTGCTTCGAATTTGAAAAGGGGGTTCATATCTTTATTGTTGCGTTCCATTTACAGGTCAATGCTATAAAGTTTTATAGTTTTCTAATTTAGTTTGGGTTATGATTAAACCATGTGGCTTTTTATAAATGTTTGTTGAGCGTTATTAAAATTTTTATTTTAATTTTAATTTTATCTGAGCGATAAAATTTGTCTTATTTGAAAAATTTAAAGAAATTAAAGAAATTAAAGAAAAATATATTAATCTTTCTAATAGATTTTTTTTGGTATTTTTAATCAAATAATACAAGAAAATTGATCACATAACCCGCTTTAGAAAATATTATTTTTGCGAATTTTGTCCCCAAAATGACAACAAAAGGTGTTTTAGTCCAAACCGGGTCATGCATGGTCAGCAGTGCCCGGCAATGACAGCAATAAAGCTTTTGAGATGAGTGGAACATATGTATATCGTGTATTATTTTTTAAAGATTGTCCATATTATCCTGGTTATGATGACTGTTCGCGGTTCCACATTGAGAGAGAAAGTTCATAGTAATAATGGATATTACTTAGGAGACGAGATATCTCCTCTATAAAACTCTAGTGTCCATAGGGTTTGTATGATCATACGAAACTAACGCTGATTTAGAGTCCAATTTTGCTTTAATTTCTTTAAATATTTTTTCCGAAATATTGAAGAAATAGCTATCTGAAACATTTGGAACAAATTTTGCTATGACGAATAGGTAATAAGAATGAGAAGAATCACATGTTTTGCAAAAATATCAAACTTTGTACCACTGTAAGTCTGAGAGTTCTTGAACGATGTCGTTGAATACGACTAACATTGGTGCAAATTTCAAAAGTTGGTTCACTTGACTCCTTATATATAATTTTGTAATATACTTTTCATACCCTATATATGGCGAAGACGATTTATGTATGCTCGACTGTTTGTCAATCTTTACGTTAAAATATATTTTCTAAAGAGCTTAGATAACTCTGGGTTCTAAATTTTATAATTGCATATGCTTTCGAAAAGTTTCCTATTTAAAATTTACAAAACCGCTCCATAAATATGAAAGATTAGCTATATATTTTTAAAACAATAGAATTAAAAAACTCTTTACAATTTTATACTATTTTTTTCTAAATGTTTAAATTAATTTCAAAGTTGCTCGAGCAAAATTTGAAGATCCCAGCTCTAGTGGTTTTCCGGATATGCGAATTTTTGTTTTACATTCAAATGGGAGATTCCTAGCCTATTTGCTTATTCGACAATTTGCTACCAAAATGATCACATGAATGTCAGAATTATTCATGCAAAATTTGAGGAATCTAGTTTTAATAGTTTCCCAGATATACGAATTTTTGCCACGCCCTCTATTGATAGTCTCTCCATATTATTGCCAAAAGTTAATATTCTGATTCGTGCAAAATTTAAGGATTCTAACTTGTTCATGCTAAATTTTAGAATTCTAGCTCTAACAGTTTCCCAGATATACGAGTTTTTGGTATATAGTTAATATAGGTGGCTCCACGCCCCTTTTTAATAGTCTGTCCATTTTATTCCCAAAAGTTCATATGTATTTCAAAGTTAATCGTACAAAATTTAAGGATTATAGTTTTAATAATTTCTTAGATATATGATTGTTTTGTATTTAATTTATATGAGAGGTGCCACGCCCCCTTTTTCATGATTATTTCGAGGATTCTAGCTTGAACAGTTTCCCAGATGTATGAATGGGAGGTGCTACGCCCCCCGATTTTAGTTTCAAGTTCATATAGATTTCAAAGTTGTTCATGAAAAACTTAAGTGTTCTAGCTTTAATAGTTTCTTTGATATGCCACGCCTCCTATTGCTTGTCTTCCCATTTTTATACTAAATATTTAAATCCCCCGATTTTAGTCCGTCGACTTTTTTCCAAGTTCATATAGATTTCAAAGTTGTTCATGCAAAACTTAAGTGTTCTAGCTTTAATAGTTTCTTAGATATGCCACGCCTCCTATTGCTTGTCTTCCCATTTTTATACTAAATATTTAAATCCATACTAAAGCAGCTCCGTCAAATTTGAGAACTTTAATTGTTATATTTTCTCAAATACACCAATTTAATATTTTCTTTATGTGAGAGGTGCCACGCCCACTATTGCCTGTCCACCCATTTTCCCTATAAATCGGTCCAGCCCCTTTAGGGACACTATAGGGTCGATTGTCTTCGCTCTGCATTACAAAGCGTGCAGTGGTATGAATGACCCAATATATAGGAATAAGAGTAAAACGGGTGTTTAATGATTAATCAAAAGTTTTAAAATCTATGGGGGCTTTTATATATAAGTCAATATTTTTTAGAATATAAAAACAACTGTTCTACGTTATCTAGTTTTTCGCATAAGTATAACAAATAAAAATTGTGTTATAACTCGTCGAATTTTCCAATGTTCTCTGTTAACAAAAAAGCTTTTATTTTTATTTCCTGCTTATGGCATCAACAAAAAAAGCTTAGAATTTACTGTTAACAGCGCTCTTTTACACTCAACTGTTTAAATATTATATTATTTTCTCTTTTAGCTAAAACTCTTATACTTTTACGTAAAACTCTTGTTAATAAAATCAAGTTTAAGAGTATGCGTAAACTCACCCTTATGAAAGGCAGAAAAATTTGCTTACAAATATTTTAGTTATATATTTGTGTGTGTGTGTATGTGTAAGTATTCGTATAACTGACCTAAGCTAATAAAATAACACGAAGTTTATAATGTGTGCTTCGTTTTTTTTTTTTGAGAGTTAGATAGCAAATATAGAGGGCGTTAGAAACACTTGTTTTATTTACTTAAACTATTTAGCAGAGAGCAAGTAGAGAGAGAGGACAAGTGTGCTAAATAATAAGGATAATGAGAAATTGTTTGTGTGTGTGCGGTTTAAAACAAAAAAATTCCTTTACATTGGTTTGGTTTTTTTTTAGAGAAGTTTGTTAGGAGAGTAATTTATTTTGTTTAGGGAGAGAGAGAGAGCTTAATAGTTTGTATTAAGCTAAAAACTTTATATATCCTTGTTTAAGCTAAATATTTACCTTTTTGTGTCGACTCTCAGAGAGTTATTTTTCTCATTTGTTAAGCTATTGTTGGGAATTTTTTACGTTTATGCTCTGGTTTTAAATTAAAGGTTTTTACTTCGTTTTTTTTTTGTGGAATTTTTTCAAATATATCTTGTTGAATGATTTTTCTGTGTATATGAATGTGTATGTATTTTAGTTGCCTAAAAGAAAATGTGTAATAAAAGAAGCATAAGAAGAAAAAAAGAAATTCATGCAACGAGTACATTTACCTCAGTCGTGTTTTATATCTTAACCGGTAAAGATGTATTAAGACGGGTACAATGTTAAAGAAAATACGTTTAATACAACAACAGTACGTTTTATAATACGGTAGCAAAAATTTTCTTTTAGCAAGAAAAAATGTATATAAAGAGCAAAAAGGCAAAATAGAAGAAATTTTACAAAATGTAATATATAAAAAAAATTATTAAAAATTTATAAAATTTAAAGAAATATCAAATGAAATAAAATTAATAAAGTTGTTAAAATAAATTTAAAAAAAATATCTAATAAATATAAAGTGTTTTGTTAAAAATATACAAAGTTCATAAATATTAATATAAATTAAATTGTTATTTACCTGTTTTGTAATTTGCTTTCTTCCGCTTAACAATCACTCACTTACACGTTTAGGCACGTGTTAGTATGTTTTGTTTTTTTTTTTTTCACGACTTACAAATGTGTCGATTTTTAAACGCGCGCGGTTTTTTCAGTTTATTGGTTTCTTACACTTTAAACTCATACACCTAAAAGTATGCTTATATAAAGTAATGTTACAAAAATAAAGAGAAAAGCATTTAAAAAAAGTGCATATTAACATGCAAAATATTTACATGTTCTAACATGCAAATAAAATTAACAAAATTATAACATATACACATGCGATAAAAAGCAAACCAAACATATTTCTACAAATTTTAAATACAGCCCTAAGTTATGCTTTTAGAAAAAAAAAAAAAACATAGAGAAATTACAAGTGTTTAGGAAAAGTATAATAATAACACTCATACGTCATGTTGACCCATTGTGTATGTGTAATATTTACTTAATGCATACAGTACAGTGTCCCAACTAAGAAAAAAAAAAGAAATGTCTATAATAAAACTGTCTAAAATTAAATTAAATTTGTTTAAATTTATAGAACTCGAGAACTTTGTTTACATTATTATTTTTTTTGCAACCACAAAAATTGTCATCATATTTTTGTTGTTGTTGTTGTTGTTTTTATTCTCTTCATCGCGTGTTATTATTTTCTAGTTAATTAAACATAATTCCTAACACGCATATTTACAAAAGTGTTTTCATCATAATTTTTCCAAGTGAACATGTATGTGTGTGAGTGTGTGTGCTTTTGTTGGTTTCATAAAAGGATTTGTTGTAGCAGTAATACAAGTGTGATGACCATTTAACATTTTATAATTATAATTCGGCTGATGACCATTAAAGTGTTTAATGAAAACATGTAATTTGGATAATATTTATGTTAAAATAAATAAACTAATTAAAGCATAAATTTTAAGTAATTTCATGTGTTAACGCAATTAAATATATTCACATGTTGCTGTTGTTGTAGCGAAATTCCAGGAAATCGATTTAAAACTTTAAACACTTAAAGAAAATTTAATGTGTGTTTTAAAGATATAAAAGGATAACAGGAAAATTTTTTAAAAATTTATAAAGAATGAAATTAAAGACAACTTTGTTTTATATCGATATTAATATGAGCATAAGGAAGATTGTTTTACTTGGGAAAATCTTGTGAAAATTTATAAAGAATGGAATTAAAGATAACATGGTCTTATATCGATATTAATATGAGTTTCAGGAAGATTTTCGGA